CCCCCCCCCCCCCAAGGCAAGAACCATTGGTCTTCCAGTATCAAACTCTTCTTGCCCCCTTCTTTCAGAGAGAGCCCATGGGAAGTTGACACATTGATTTCTAAACATTGTAGAAGGTATGTCATCACCACGACAGGCAGTGTTCCACGCGCCTAGCCTAGAATCCGATGGCGGCTGGTCCTCACTCTGGTCCATCCTCCAAAGGGGGAGAAAGAGCTCAGGTCGAACACGCCTCTGAGGGCGCCCCCTTGGCGCTCGCGAGGAGAATGAGGGAACGAGCCCAGATTCGGGTCCTGCAGCCCCGTCTCCCACTAGGTGCCACAGTGGCACAGCTGGGCGAGCTGTGTGGCTTTCCACCAACCGCAGCCTTGTCCTTCCTTCCAGCTCCGGTCTCCCATTTATGCGACGCCACCTGCGTTCCAGCCCGAGCCCCGTCATCCTGAGGCAGCTGGAAGAAGAAGCCAAGGCTCGAGAAGCAGCCAACACGGTGGACATCACCCAGGTCATGAGCAAGCTGGACCGTAGGAGCCAACTCAAAAGAGAGCTGCCTCCTAAATAGATCTAGAATCCTTGGGGGGGCGGGGGCGTACGTGCGGGAGAGGCACGCAAAGAAAGGCAGAGTCAGAGTCTAGAGAATTCTATGCCCCGTTGCGGGGGGGGGGGGGTGGGCAGCGGGGTCGCCAGGTGCGTACTACAGCCCCCTGACCTCCTTCGGGGTGGACTTCACAGTGTCACCGCAACCAGAGCTCCAGTTCGTGGGGGTACAGGGGCAGCAGTGGGGGGCGGGGAGGTCCCTTGACTCAGGTGCTGTGTGACTTACTTAGCGCTTACTTAGTAAGTACGAACTTAGCACTTACCCTCTTACAAGAACCGAGGGCATTCTTGGAGTGGGAAGCCCAGAGAAAACAGGCTGTTTTGTGTAGCACTGTTTGCTTTGGAAAATGAACAGGAAGACCGCCTCGTCCCCCAAGACATAGTTCTTCTTAATGGAGCTCCTCACCCTACCTCTCCGATTCAGACTCCGCTTCTAAAGCAGTCTGAGATGCCTCTGAGGCACTAGATGCAGGGTCCCCCCTAGATGCGCTTCCCCTGGGCTTCTCTGTTACACCTTCTGGAAGGGTCCTGCTGAGACATTCCTGTTGAGCTAGTTCTTAGTCACGGTTTGAGGGCTGGTGAGCTCCCTCCTTCCCTGCTGTCTCCCCACCGCCTGACACCTGCTGGGGGAATTAGTATGAAGGGCTAATTAGACTAATTAGACGAAAGGCTCAGTCGGAAGCTTCCCGGGCAAAGTGAAATGGCCTTATGACGAAGGCCATATCGTTTTGGATAAAGGAAAGGTGATGGTGACTTCATTCGTGGGAAGAGGGATGGTAGGCGGCTGGACATTTCCAAGACGAGTTAGGGTCAAAGATAATACTCTTTGGGATATTTTCTTTTACTTTTTTGTGGCGGGACAGGGGAGAGGGAGAGAAGGAGAGAGAATCCTAAGTAGGCTCCATACCTGGCTCAGAGCCTGATGTAGGGCTTAGTCTCAAGACTGTGAGATCATGACCTGAGCTGAAATCAAGAACTGGGTGCTTAACCGAATGAGCCATGCAGGCGCCCCTCCTTTGGATATTTTCTCGATGTTCCTGCTTCTCTCCTCTGTAGCTGTAGGCTAGGCCAGCCCTGTGGTCAGGGAGCAGGGAGAGGACAGTTCACACTCTGACCTTGGGAGGCCTACAAGGTAATTCTGGAAGCTAGTCTTACCTCATGCACCTGTGTGAGAACGCCAAGGCAACAGGGCAAGTCTGCGAGCAAGGAAGCGACGTTGTGCAGCAAAGGGACTCACTCCTTCAACACGTTTACTGAGTACCTCCTACGTGCCAGGCAGTGGTGAATACAACGGCCTGGTCTCTGTCTCACGAATTTATAGTCTAGGACTGACCAAAAATAACGAAGCCAATGGTGTCGGCAGCCGTTGCCATGTGACAAACAAGATTAGAGCGTCACACGATAATCAGCGTTTATTGCTCCTGGGTATAGGGTCGTCTGTGTGGCTCTGTTGATCTTGGTGGAGCTCACTCCCATGCCTGGGGCCTTGATCTGTGGTGGCCTAAGCTGGGACGAGCGGAAGGATTCTTCTCTGCTTCTTGTGCCTCTTGTCCGCCAACAGCCTGGCCGCGGCATGATCTGTGGTGATGGCGGATTGCAAGGGAGTAAGTGGAAACAACGTCAGAGTCTTGAGGTGTAGGCTTAGACCTGGTTTTCCACCTCATTTCCTTGGCCAAATCAAGTTACAAAGCCAGCCTAGAATCAAGGGATGAGGAAACAAACTCCAGCTCTTTAGCGAGAGAAATGTTAAAGTCTTATCGCCACAGACGTGGAGACAGGGAGGGACGAATCGGAGCCGTCACTGCGACCAACAGTCTGCATATATGATAAAACCTGTAGAGAGTGAGTGTTACAAAGGATGTGGATATGGTGCCCTGAGAGGGGAGAAGGGAGATGTGTGCACTAAGGAGGCCTCTTCAAGGCGGTCACGGAGAAGCAGAGGTGGAGTGAAAGCGGCCACACAAAGAATGTGGGCAGGCAGGGCAGAACTTTCCAGGCGGACGGGACTGCATGCGTGAAGGCCCATTGGGGAAAGTGCCTCGGGGTGAACTGTAAGACCAGGTGGATGGAGCCTGGTGGGCGTGGGGCATATGGTGCAACACAAGGTTAGAGAGGTGGGCGAGGCCAGGTCACTGGGGACCTTTTAGGCCATTGTAAGGAGTCTACAGCTCTTGGTTTCATGTCAGTGAACTGATTCCATTACTCTCTCCATTTAAACTCCGAAAGAACAACCTGAGGTGTGCTTTGGTCGTCTCTCTTTTGGAGAATGTTGGAAGTTTTCCGATGCAGGGAGGGCATCCCAAGAAAGAATTTCAGGTGATGGCCGTTGTAAATGGAATGACACAGCACAGGGGCTGTGTTTGCCCAGGATCACTCTGAAACCTGATGGGTTCTGCAGAAACGTGTCTTACCTGAGTGGATGAATGAAAGGAGGAAGGAAGGAAGCGAAAGAGCCCTGGATTTGGAGAAGGCCTCTTGGTCTCTGGTTCTGCCACCAGCCATGTGGTCTTGAACAAGTCACTTATGATCTCTGCTTCCTGATTTGTGAAGTGAGGGGTTAGGACCAGATCCACGCTTCTTGAAACAGACTCTGTGAGTTCCAGGAGGGTACCCCGCCTGGGGCCTCGATTTTGCTTGAAGATTTGGAATGGGAGGACACTTGGGTAATTTTAGATATTTTTTTGCATTAAAATCATCATGAATATAGTATGAATTAGAATGCAAAACGTACATGAATTTTTTAAGATAAAAATCGAGACATCAAAGACATTTCACGCTTGGCTGTGGCAGGTTTAGGCTTTACCCTCAGACTCCTGGGAGAGGATGTTTACCCGGCTCTCCTGCTGTTTGTCCTACTTTCCTGGGAAAGTTTGAGAAGCACAAAACCAGAGAGATGCGCTGTCCCTTCTGGTTACCCCCTGTGAGCTGGGACCGCATACCCGGCACAATGGCGGTGACGATGGCGGGGCGTCCAACGCATCAGGAGTGTTCCGCAGGCTACAAAGTGTATCGTGTTTGTCTGTGACTCAGCCATCCACCTCCCACAAGTGAGAGGTCTCCCACCCTCCAGCAGACTCCCAGGGGCTCCGTATCAGGCACAGAGTAGATACGCCACACGTATTAATGGAAACCTTCTCAACATCAGACACACGGGGACCCCGCAATCTAATGAGAGGCACAGGGATGTAAACAGGGTCAGTTATCACTCTTTAACGGATAAATGCATAAATAAGGAACCCGGAGAAATGCATCTGAAGGAGGGTAGGAGATAAATGGCTTCGCTCCTGGATAGCAGCAGCCACGTTCCACACGTTTCTAAACACCTTTTCTATGTAAGAACTGGTGATGGCTGCTGGGACAGGTACAGAAATGGGCAAGAGGTTCTCTGCCCTCCGGGGGCTGGATGCAAATGGCTGCAACGTGAGACGGAACGGGATCGAGGCTGAGTTGGCACACTAGAAGAGCACAGAGATGGGAGAGGATTGTCTGGCCTGGAGGTCTGTGCGGGGGGGGGGTGGGGTGTGGGGGTGGGGATCCACCAGGAGATTCTCGTGTTTGGTAGTAAAGGAGCCCAGGTCCCTATCCAGTTTTGAAGTTTTGTAAGAGCGTCGGCCGCTGGGCCCCAGCAGGTGACAGCTGTTCCTGGGGGCTTTGTTTCTGTGTGTCAGACATAACAGTGGCCCCCCCGCAGGGGCTGTCTCGATCTCAGATGGCATCAAAAATAGTATTTATTTGGACAGTATTATCGATATATTTAAACGATCGTGATAGTTTCTGTGTTCTGTGTACTTAGGCACCCTCTTGATTCCTCAATGCCATGCTTTAAACAGCTTGAGTTTCTCCACCTGCGGTGGTGCATCTCTTATGCTAGAATATAAATCCTGCTGGAACGTGCCAGGCTTTCCTTTGTAGAATTTCGTTTTCAAGCTTGGCTTTTAGAGAAAGGACTGCTCTTCTTGTGAGGGTTGTGGGAATACGAGGGCTGGGGACAAGAAAATGCAAGAAGAGTACGTAAGATAATGCCTGGCATATAATAAACGCTCAATAGATGCTAGCCGCTGTTACCTTGGTCACAACCATCGTCACTGTCGCCATCACCACCATGTATCACCAACACCGTCACTGTCGTCATCTGCATCATCGCCACCATCATCACCACCATCCTTAGTCGCGCACGGTCTTAGAGTAACCTTGGGCTCCCTTGCACCTGTCGGTGTTCGTCCAGTACGGTGATCCATTATTCTTCACTATTCCGGGCATTCCCTCGGGTGCGCTTTTAGCTTTGTTGACTGAAACCGTCTCACTTCTCTGCTCTCTCAGAGTCCTGCAGTGTGGGCCGCCCAGCTCTCCAGGGACCATCAGGATATATTTGAAGGGACGAGGGTGGGCCATTGATGTCACGTGCTCTAGGAGTCTGTCCAAGCTCTGTGGCTAAAGCAAGGGTCCGTTCAAGATGGTAAGGCTGTGCCACACACGAGATGGTGGGTAGGAGAAATGATGTGTCCACCCTTGTGGATTTGTTTCCACGGAGCCAACTTTGCTTATTTGCTTTTGGAGGCAGTGGGCGAGGGGAAAGCAAGGGGGGACCGGAGAGGGTGCCGAGCACACTGCATGCTGAACCTGAATGTGGCTCGGGAAGCAGGAGTTCAGGGGGGCCACCAGGACTCCTTCAGATTCTCAGCCAGTTTCTAGACAGAAGACGAGTCGCACCCCTTTGCACTTATCTGCCTTGCCTGCCGTTAAAAAGCCTACGATCGTGACGTCATGTCAGTGTACCCACTCCATTCCACGCTCTTTCCCCCCCGTGTCACTCCTCCCTTGCCTAATAAAACAGAGCTCTCAGAGCTTCACCGTGTCTCCGTGTGTCGCATTTCTTTGCCACGTGCCTTGCATGCCGCTGCTTTGCTGTGTCACACCAGGGGTGGGCGTGGCGTGGGCTGGAGGGGCCAGGTCTCTGTGGGAGGGGCCAGAGTCCTGGTGGGAAGGGGGTAAAAAAGGCCTTCCTGCTTTGGGTGTCCGGGGCCGATGGGGTCAGTGGCTACTTTCCCAGAAGAAAGGACCTTCTCAGGCCAGGTGAGTAAAGCAGGACGGTGGCCACTCCTCACCTGTCTTGTCATTCATCCTGGAAAAGAAAGTGATGGGGGGAGAAGGGTGGGGTGGGGAGGAGGGCACAGAATTAAGGAGGGCAGTAAATGGGAGTGGCCTGTACTGTCATAAGCTGTGCGATCTTGGTCAAGTTGTCATCTCCATGAGGCTCAGTTTCCTAATCTGTAAAGTGGGGATTATAAGGACTTTATCACACCTTCTGAGTAAGTGGGATTCAAGAGAATGAACCGGAGGTAGGGTGTCCTCAGTCAGTTTATTCTCTCACCAAAGCCTGTTGCCTAGTTTTGGTGTCTCAGGCCGCTCTCCAGGACCCCAGGTCCCATCTGAACCCCACAGGCAACGGGATGGCCTTACGGATCAGTAGACAAAGCAGGGGGCTTTGGGGTTTCACGCTCCTCGGATGGGGTTCTCATTCTGTGTTAGTTATCTACTGCTGTGCAATGAAACAGCACACACACGGCCGTTTGTTCGCGCACCGATGGCCAGGTGAGGCTGGGCCGGGCCCCCTGCTCACGGTCTCACACCCAAGGTCACACCAGGCTGTCGTGTTCCTATCTGGAGGCTCTTACGAAGAACCTGCTTCCAATCTCTTTGAGGTTGTTGCGGAGACTCAGTTTGTCACCGTAGGACTCAAGGCCCCAGCGTTTTTGTTGGCCGTTAAGCTGATGGCTGCACCCAGCTCCTAGAAGCTGCCCTATCCCTCGTCCTGTGTCCCCTCTGTCCCACCTTCAAAGCCAGTCCTGGAGAATTTCTCCTTTGTTGAGTCCCTGTCGTGCTTCAAACCCTGTCTGACGTCTGTCCCTGGTCTGTGACTCAGATCTGAAGGGTTCGTGTGATGAGGTCAGGCTCACCCAGATAATTCTTTGTTGATGTCACCTATGCCATATCACGTCACCTGAGCACGGAGTGGCTGTCGTGTGCTATTTCTAGTTCACATCCACACTGGAAGACGGGGGCGGGAGTGTTAGCGGCCACCTTCGTGTTGTACATATCATTGTCCCTGTTGGCTGTGAGAGCCTTGGGATGGCAATGAGCCCGTCTAGACCTCAATTTTCTGGATACTAGGTAATATGCTAGATTACCTACCATATAGCAGATGCTTAAGAAGTTACAGGGCCAGACCCTTTCACCTAACCGTTGTCTCCCAAACCCTTATCGCGGGCCCAGCTTTTTCCTTTATTGCTCTTCTGGTCAGCAGACTGTGTCCTAAGTGGAGACCCCTTGCCCTATAGAAGCATGGCGTGGGGCTCCTCAAACTGGACATAACCAAATCGTGACCTCGGGTGTTTGTTAGAAGATGCTTTCCTTGTGTCCCCCCGAGAATCTCCTTCAGTGGGTCTGGTGGGCTTGGGATCCGCACTTGCAGCAGCACCCTGGGCGATCCCGGGGTGCGCTGATGGGCAGGCCATCCTGAGACGGCCAGCCAGCTGTTACACGTGCAGACTCGGCCGTCCACGGGCCCGGCTTCAAAGCCGGCCCTGTCCCCGGTGGCCTGTCCTTGGGGCTCGGTTTTCGAAGCATTAGTTTCCTCGTCTGCATAATGGGCATGGTAAGAGCTGGTGGCCTTACTGAGCGGCTTTGGGAAGTAAGTGCGATGATCCACAAAACGTGCTCAGCCTCGACCCTCACGTTTCCTGAGTTCTCGCTGCGTGTTAAGGCCAGGAGTTTTGATTTCGTAGGTTAACCCTGGGGCCCCAGGTCCGGGCCTTGGCTCTGGTTTGTGGGCCTGTGGAGACCTGAGCAGAGGCACTGTACCAGTGGCTCTCAGCTGCTGTTTCAGAATGGAATCGAACTTGAACTTCAGGGAGCTGGTGGGGGAGAACGGAGGCCGTCCCCCCTCTGTCCCCCACGGCAAAGACTTCTGTGGCCTCCTGGCCTTTCTTTTCCTCTAAAAGCTGTCCTTGGATGTGCCTGCCCCTTTCTCTTCCGGCTGGGACCAGCACGCTCAGGGGACCTGGAAACCAGGCCATACCCCATAGAAGCCAGCAGCCTCCAGCTCAGCGCCCGGAGCTGCCCTCCCTCGGCCCCGGGGCAGTGCCCGGGCCCCCGGGGCAGGCAGGTTTCTCTAAGCTGGGCGTCGTGTGGCCGTGCCAGTTTCAAAGAGGGTTTGTTCTTCACTGAAGTCCTTTCCAGTTCTCTCTCGGAGGCAGTGATGGCCCAGCTGTCCCAGAGGGTCCCCCTTCCCTGCCAGGACTGGGCTTTGACACGGTGAGAGGCCGCAGCAGGCCTTTAGGACGGGGCATGACGAACCGGGCCGATGGGCCCTCGGAGGCCCATCTGTGGAGGGAAGAGCGGTGACAACAGAGGGGTGACAGCAGAGAGCCTCCCTGAAAATTCCAACTTTAACTGTGTCAGCTCAGACCAAGCTCTCCTGGGCTTCTTTGCTGAAAACCTGCTGGTCCAGCACTCCTGCCCCTCCCCCCTCCCGCTCCTTGACTCTGGGGCCACGGGAGCCCAGGGAGGTCGGGATGCTACCCTTCTCCAGCGATGGGCCCACGACGCCCACTCTGCCTCCCCTCCCGGCCACCCTGTTCTGCCGCGGGAGGCACGGCCAGTGCCGGGGCTTGGCGACCCCCAAGGCGTGGCCAGTTGGACGCGGGGTCGGGGCTCAGGACGAGGTGGGGTGGTCTCAAGCCTGGAGGAGTGAGCAGGGTCCGGGCTGGGGCTTCTCGTATCACCACTGCTCTGTTAAAAGTGTCCTCGGGCTGGGAACTAAGGACAGAGAAAGGATGCATGGCATCTAGCGGGTCCTAAGCATTGTTTGCTGGGGGACGGGGGTTCAGGGCAGTTGGAAAGCCAGCCTGGCCTCACCCCAGCATCCCAGGCCCAGCAAAGGTCAGCCTGGATGCAAATGTCCAGCTCCAGGCACCGTGACCAGGGCCTCCTTGACGGGAGGCCCGTGTGTGGCTGGGCCGTCATCACAGGGGGCTCCGGGCCCCTTTCCCAGCTCCCCAATGGGCCCGCCGCACCAGGCCGTGCTCCGGGCGCTGGAAGGGGCTAAGTCAGCAGAGGGCTGTGTCCCTGAGCCCCCACGACTCACCCTGAACTCTCTCTTTCCCTGTCTGCAGCCGGGCCAGCACACCGCTCCCAGCCCCCACCTGGCCGTGTACACAGGGACCTGCGTGCCCCCGTCTCCTTCGGGTCCCTTCTCCCCCTCCTGCCGCTCCCCCAGGATGCCTTTCCCCTCGCCAGGCCGCTTCATCCGGAGGCCCAGCAGCACCATCTGCCCCACGCCTATGAGGGTGGCCTCGGAGAGCTCCGAGCAGACGGGGGCCGCTGGTGCCTCCGGGGCCTGCCCGGGGCCCTCCGACCCCGCCGGGGGTGAGGCCTCGGCCGAACACCCCTGGGTCCGGCCCAAGGCCCGCGTGGCTCTGTCCTTCAGCAGGTTTCTGAGACGGGGCTGTTCGGCTTCCCCGGTCTTTGCCAGGCTCTCGCCCAAGTGCCCGCCCGTGTCCCACGGGAAGGTGCAGCCCCTGGGGGACGTGGGCCAGCAGGTGTCACGGCTGAAATCCAGGAGAGTAGCAAAGTAAGAACCAGAAAGGATTGTGCTGTGTGTGAGCGCAGGGGCACATTTGTCCCTGCGCGAGCACACGTGTTTGCACATTTGCCTGCATGTGAGCATGCGCGTGTGCATATGTCTCTGCATGAGTGCGCGTGCACGCATGTCTGTGTGTGTGTGTGTATGTCTGTGCTGGGTACCGAGGCCATGGGCTTGAGCACGGTCTAGAACTGGGGGTGGGGGGGTGAGTAATGAGGATTCTGGGTTAGCAGACACGACAAGAGGGCTGTTTGGCCGCCGGATAGTTTCCAGAAACTCAGCGTTGCCCTCGCCTGCTTCCTAAGAAAGAAAAGGAATGGGAGTCTTTCTTTTCCACCTTTTCCCCCTTCTGTGCTCCACCCAGCCTGCCCCATCCCCAGAAAGTCAGTCTAATGAATCCATTGTACTTTTTTTTTTTTTAAAGTTATTTATATACTTTGAGAGAAACAGAGAGAGAGGAGAGGGAGTACGCGGGGGAGGGGCAGAGAGAGTCCCAGGCAGGCTCCACACTGCCAGCTGGGAGCCCACGTGGGGCTCGAACCCACGAACCGTGAGATGGTGACTTGAGCCGACACCGAGTCAGATGCTTAACCGACCAAGCAGGCTCTCAGAGGGGCCTGCGGGGATTCCTGCTTCTACAGGTGTTTCTGTGAAAATGACTGTGCCCAGTCTCCCCCGAGAGGTGGCCCCTCTCAGCTCCATTTTGGGTGTAAGCCTGAGTTCTGAGAACCCCAAGCGCCCGGAGGCAGGTCACCGGGGGCAGCACAAAGACTCTGAGGGGGTGCACGCCAACTGCTGGACCAATGGCAGAAAGAAAAGTTGTAGACGGTGCAAAACTGAGAATCAGCCCCCCGCCTCTATTTGGTTTTGGGGAGACAGTCAGGGGTATCCCTGCACCAACCAACACGCTCCTGTTGGTTGCTCCAACCCTAACAATTTGAGCCCCTCCAACATGAAAGTAAAGCATCTTTTGAATGAGCCTGAGTCCAGCAGAGAAACAGGAGTCCCCTTCTACCCCCAGTGAAAGAGATCCGCGGAGCCCGGTCGCGGCCCATCTGGGTGTCACTCTCCTCCAGGGACGTCAGGGTGAGCTGAGGATTTGGTGTCCCTTCTGACCCTATGCACTTGCCTGTCTTTTGTGCCTGAAGCTTTTTCCAGATCAAAATGGACGTGCCTACGCAGAGTGGGACCTGCCTGATGGACTCGGAGGACACCGGGACAGGAGACGCGGGTGACCGGGCCGAGGAGAAGGAGGTCATCTGTCCCTGGGAGAGCGTGGCCGAGGGGAAAGCTAGCTGAGCCGGGGGCGCTGGACCAAGAAGACGCTCCCGGCAGACCCTGCCAGATGGGGCCACGGGCTCTCGAACCCGAGTGCATTTCGATCACATTTGGGGCCTGGAGAGAGAAGACGGGATGGATTGTGGGGAAGAGTGCACTCCTGACCTTCCCTCCTTTGGGCAGAAGAAAGGCATGTGGACCAGAGGACTTTACTTGCTGCCTTAAAACCAATAAGAGGTTAACTTGTGAGAGTCTCTTGGCCTGGGATGTTAGTGTGCGTCTGGTTTTATTAGCTATGAGCTACTATTTATCAGTTTATGAGTTCAATTCATCTCTCCTTTGGTTTTAGAGACAAAAGGACACTGAGTCGCTTTTAAGAACTCCCTCTCTGGTTAAATTGGTTTGTGCGTGTCACTTCTATCAACGGAGCTCCCCAGAGCACGGCATCGTGCACGAAGGGGGTGTCGGAGAAAGGCATCTTTCTAGAATGAGCAGGTGTGTTGTTCGCATCCACCAAGAAGTAGAGACAAGATGGGAATAGCTGGGCAAGGGGTTTATTGGGGGAAACACCTGTGAAGGATAAAGAGTGCGATCTGGAGAAGGAGGTAGGGGCCTTCAGACCAAGTGCCTGGCTGGCCTCTGGGGAAGGAAGGGCAGGCTTGGAGAGTCTCATATGGCAGTGCAGTTCTAAGTGAGTTTTGGCCTTGCCATTGGGGTGTCCTTGATGCAGAGTGACTAGGTCTGACGAGAACGGTTCTGCCTTCTCACCTCCACCATGCAAGGTCATTGGCTGGGAGCGCCTGGGGGGGAAGCCCGGCCCCAGCACGGACACACTGCTGGCCATCAGTCCATCCACTCCCTGCAGCAGGGGCTCTGAGCACGCACGTTCATGTCTGCTGCATGCAACCCGGTAGGCGCGTCTGGAGGCTTAGGCCTCGGTGCACCCCCACCTCTTCTCATAGTCATTTACTCAACTGGTATGTGTTGAGCCCTTGCTATGTGCCAGGCACTGTGCTAGGCCCTGGGGATGCAGTGGTGGGTGAGCCTCCTTGCCTCCTTGAATTCATCTAGAGCCGTGGCTCTCAACCCGGGACAACTTTGCCCCGGGGGGACACTGAGCAGCGTCTCAAAACATTTTTGGGGTGTCAGGACTAGTGTGGGGAACGCTGCTGGCCTCTAGCGGGTGGAAGGCAGGCAGTGACACCAAACATTCTACAAACGGGATAGTCCTCTACCCCTCCACAACGAAAGATTCTCTTGTCCAAATCAGCAAGTGCTGCTGTTGGGAAATCCCCGAAGAGAGGGTGCAGGTGATTCCCTGGGCTGCTGGACACGGGCCCCTTGTCATTGGTTTCTGCCCCCAAGCCCTGAACTGTTGCCTGAGGGTGTTCTGCTGGGATTATAATTGGATTCAGGGGTGGGTTGACATTAAGGACTACATCGTCAAAAGCGTTTCTTCAAAGTTGCATGGCAAGCTCTCATGGGAAAAAGATTTTTCGAGTGGGTTGCCAAACCATTCATTATCCCCCTCCCCTGAATTCTCAGCTTCATCAGATTCTGATTAGTAGATAAGAGCCCCTCACTTGCTTTTAATGTGGGACAATTTACCTTATTCAGTCCATAAATAAGCCCCCGGGGGCTCCTGAGTCATCTGTCTTGACGCTTCTAGAAATGAACGGTGGCTAGGGGCATGGCCAAAACCTGGACTTGCTGACCATGCAAGGAAGCGCAGATGATTTAATTCTGAAAGAGCGTGTCATTTTACATTCTGTGGGATCCACTCCTTTGGGCTCACAAGAGTTACTCGTGTGGGGATGAGGAAACTTGTCTCCTAGAGAGCACACAACGCGGGCTGGCTCTCAAGAGAGAGGCGAGTGGATCAATGAACTTGATGTCTTTATTTGCAAAGCTGGTCTAAAACGAGATTACAGGCACAACCCATACCTTTAATGTACCAGCAACCATTGTGCCCAGACTGTAAACTGGGGTTATGGGGCTCCACTCCGAAGCCCCCAGGGTCCTCGACCAAGACCGTATGGACCTTCAGCATCAACTATCCAAGGCTGCGGGATTCCCCGATGGGATTAGGTGAGGTCCCGGCTAAAGTGCTGTAACAAAGAGACCCCAGGAGGAAGGAAGTGGTTCAAGCATGAAGGAGTTTGACTCTGCCATGTAATTGCCCAAAGGCAGGAGGCATTTCATGGTGACTGGATTCCAGGGAAGAGAGGAAATCCAGGAGCCAAGGTAAATATTTTTAACCTTGTTGCCTCACCTGTCCCCTAGTGATTGGCATGATTATTCTCCACCTTGTCTGGACCGAAACTATTACCCAGTCTTGGTGGAGGGAGTGGAAAGTATAGCAGAAAAGGGGAGAATGTGGGAGGTGGGGCAAGAGGAGCTGGGAGTGGCTGATCGGTTTGTATTTGGCCAAACATTTGGTCAATATCTGTAAAATGCATCTGCTCTATTCTATGGTTGGGTGGCTTTTCCTTCATTGAGAATGCAAACCTCCTAGGCGCCCAACACCAGGTGAAGTAGAGTAAAACCACGGTGTGCGAGATAATTCGTTCTGGAAACATGCTTGTCATCCAAAGTACTTGGATATCAAAGCGAATTTCCCCGTGAGAAATAATGGACACTCAGATGATTCGTTCCACAACCCCAAAATATTCATATGCAATGACTACAGCACTGTCATATAATGCAAAATAATAAAGAAAATCCAAAATATAAAGAAAAATAAACAAATTAACTTGCACTTGCCTTTGAAAACCTTCGTAGCTGGTGTGAGGGAGACAAGAGAGAGGAGGGTTATTGTGCAGGACGACTTCCACTATCGCTAGTGGAATCACTGCTATCTATTGGCTCCATGGAATCTTCTGAATGGGGACCATTGCATACACTGGCACGGATGTTGACCAGATTACAGTATTAAGAAACTCTTGTCCTGTACTGTATTTAAGGTAACTGGCAATCAGGCAGCAGAGGAAAGGGTCTCTATCTGCAGGCAGCCTGACCTAGGAGGAACCAAAGTATTCCTCAGCTTACTCTTGTCCAGAAAAGCAGAGGACTGTCCGTAGGTGCTGTGAAGTGACAAAAAATACACCAGTGCCAGTCGTGGGCACCTTCCAACGTCCTGAAAAACCACTGCTTTCTGCCAAACACCATGGCCTGAGACCGAGCATCCAAGCATGGGAGACGATCACCCACAATCCCTCAGTGAGTGAGAGAGAGAGAGAGAGAGAGAGAGAGAACCACTGGCTCAGTTGTGATCGCGTGACGTTCGGCTACTTGTATTGCAAGACCTCACTCGTTGATCAAGTTAAAATTTATTAGAAATGTTTGCAGAACACTCACAGAACAAGTTACTTGTAATCCAAGGTTTTATTGAATTAAGAGTGAAGCTGATTCTCTCAGGGACCTCTGTTATTGTTCAGAAGCAAGTGGGGGAAGTCAGATCTCTGGGTCACTGGCGGACACGGGACTATGGGATACGTGAGTCCTGCCCCAGCCCTGTCCAGCATGGGACGGCTCCTTGATTCCTTCACCTGTGAGCTGGCAGCTGATAATTGGACCTCTGTCATAGGGTTATTTGAAGATATGTAAAATGCACATACAAATGTCTGCCTGTGCGGGGTGCAAGAAGGAAGCATCTTTATCCATCACCCCCTCCCCATCCACTTCTCCCTGTAAACCCCCACTGTGAGTTATTTTTGTCTTCCAACCCTGGATGAAAGCTCTGGTGAGCCCCGTAACTTCTCTGGTCCCTTTCAGATAATAAATTCCCCGAGCACGATCAGAGACAAGGGCCATCTCAATTTAGCTCTGCCCGCACAGCCATTCAGACTCTTGTGTGCTGAGCAAAACTCAGAAGTTCATCCAAAGGCAAAACTTCTCTCCTCCAGTTTGAGCTGAGCCGGGTTGGGGAAAGGGGTCAACTCCTTCTCGCTTGCCTTCCTTGCTTTGCTTTTCTTCTTCTCCACCCAACGTGTAGCCTGTGGCTCCCGGAGGCGCGGGCTGGAGAGCCAGGAAGTTCTTAGTCGACTCACACAGAAGGCGCCGGTCATGGTGCATGCTGGGATTCCCCCACTGGCTCTCACTCAGGTGGGGTTTTCCTAGATGCTTGGGCCCTTCTGGCCTCAGCCTCCTTGGTCAGAAGGAACCCTGAGTGTCCTCCCGCCGGCTGCACGGGGAACTCATCCCACGGCCCACGTCTCAGCTGTGGTCACGTCCTCAGTTGCCTGGGGCGAGATTCAAACGACTGTGCACCCGTCTCGCTTCCGTGTAGACTCTTCAGATCCTGGCATCCTTGCGCCAATGGGGCAGCCCTGTCCTTTTTCTCTCCTCTCTGTTGCATGGCTTTACCTGATCTCAGCTTTCCTCTGGTTCTTCCCCTCTCACTGGCTGCACAGATCAAGCCCTCCGAGTGACTCATCAAACCCCTTTCTCAGCTTAAGAGAGAGCAAAGCATCCCCTTCCCCAGCGAGTGGGTTTGCAAGAATGACTTCTGGACCATCGCCTTTGCTAGCCGTGCCCACGTGTCCAGCTCTTCATCTGGACTGGCTGGCCAGCGGTTGGCATCTACGGTTTTATTTTTGGCCTTTGGGGCTGCCGCAGAAAGGGAGACAGAGAGAACCTTCCATCATACTTCAACATTTCATCATATTTGTCAAACGTCAGGGGTGTGCTTATTTTCTTTCTCTTGAAAATCTACGAGCAGAGCCTTGTCTTTGGGACTCCTAGGGTGGCTGTCCCTTTGCCTTCTGGGGAGGGGACGCTTGGTGGCCCGCTCGGGGCTGAAATTCATTGAACCTGAGAGGATGAGGTTCAATGTGCTGCCCCTTGCTTTCTTGCTAGGAAAGAGAAGAAGAAATAGCTTTAAGGAGTCTGTACCGGCCGACTACTGCAGGGTTGCTGGGTGCAGAGGTGAGCAGGGGAGGGTGAGGGGGCATGGGATCTCCACTCACCTCAACCCCCCGGGAGGCCCAGCCCTCTGCTCCGGGCACCATGTTCTCAGACTTCGCCAGAAGAGGGAGTCCACGGCTCACAGATCCCCAAAGAGAGGCGGCTGCGTGCTTTCCCCTTAGGAATTCAGAGACCAGCACCGGAGAAGAAGTCAGAGGGACTTGGAGAGAAGTCCAGATCGGGGTGGGGCTG